ATCTCCTACGCAAGTGTACACCACTTTCCACAAAGAAGGGTTACACGCTGTACGTTTATACCTAAGTTTCCCATTTAAGCCAGCCCACAAAACTTTGTTCATTTTATATTTTAAATATACATCATAATTACCTTAATGAAAATTAAAAGCATTCTATAGGTGTAATAGAAGCAATTTCTTAGAGTGATTTCTTCTTGGAAAAGCTAGTTCAAAGCTCAGCAAAGAACTGATTGTTCTTGAAACAGTTAAAAAACGCACAAGATGACTAAAAATATCACTTACTGACTCTTTGCCTAAGGCTCTCAGAAACAATGTTTTTTAGTTCAGTATCTTTGAGCCTGAAGAGGCACAAAAGGGCACTTCAGTAACACTGAAATATGTAAAGTAAAAATTGTTAAATGCTAAGAAGGCAATCAGGGAAGGATACTAAATTAAAATGGAAAAAAAATAAAAATAGACTCAGTCTACAAATACTGACAAAACCTGAAGGTATACATAACTGTAAATGGAAAGAACAAGGAAGTGGTGTGTGTCAGTCCACCTAATAGATGAGATGCCAAAAGCGACACAAAGCAAGATCTTTCGTTCAGAATATCAACATCCTCTTCTAGTGATATCTTTTAAAAAGCACCTGAAATTCATTTATCCTTGTCCACTTGTAAATTAAAAGTCTTAGAAGTCCAAGATGCAGTAACATGGAAGTTGAAAGGGAAATAACTGAATGTGTAAGCACAAATAATTAATTCTCCATGTAGACTAGATGCAGGATGTAAATGAGAAGAATCTAACACAGAAAAGAACAATTAAATAAAATAAAAATATGTCTAAGAATCAAAACTATTTCATTACAACACAGAGTGCTGAATAAATGCTTCCTCTTTTCTATTAAGATGATTTATTACAAGTAAAATATTTTGGGCATGTTTAAACTGTATCACAACATAGTAGAGCTTTGACCATGACAGTTCCCAAGCAGGGGCGTGTGCAGTTCTACGTGACGTTATTTGCGTAACTGCAGCCCTGAGAATCTTCCTTGTTCACAGTAAATCCATGCCACGGTCAAAGCATAAAGAGAAAATGCAGTGACATATGCAGCGCATTAAATTAACAAGGCACTCAGTCAAAGTGTCATGTGTCCAGAAATTCCCTGGGAACATAAAACCAGCATAATGCAAATGATAATATCTGATTAAAATGTGTCACTCTTACAAGCTAAAGAATGACAAACTGAAAGCGAGCTATAGTATCAAAGGTTGATTGCAAGGCATCTGAAGACCTCATGCAAAGATCAGTTACTTGAAGCATTTATTGATAATATGTAATACAGAATGACTATCAGCAGGACGAAATCTGAGATTTCACAAAGCTACCCTTGTTTAGTGGGAAGAAACAAGAAAACTTCAAAGTAACTGCCAGAAGTAAGTAAACTAAGCCTGAACAGCATATAAAATCCAATAGAAATCGATACAAAATAGTTCTTTCTATTTGAACTAGTCATGGACCTTACCAGAAACTTCACCCCCTGTGTTTGTTCAGGAAGGTAGCTTGCTGTTGTTATGTACAGTCCCACAGTCTCAAGGGAACCCTTGCATGGACAGACTTATCTAAAATGCTCATATCAGGGTGCCTAAAGACATCACAACTCTTCAGTAACCAGACATACAAATGAATCTCAAGGCATTCATAATAGCGCCTCCTCATGTGCATTCTCTAATGTCTGACTAGGATGAAGTTGCACTCCTGCAAGGATACTAGTATTGACATTCATTTTTGTTGAGCTTTATATTTTTGAGACTCACATTCCTTTCTTCAAAGTGCGTGAAGTTGGCCCTAGGACTCAAAAGTTATTGAGGAGACCACAAAATCCTATATAAAACATGATTATCTAAGACTGTTTCTTTAAGAAACCAAACTGTGCTATTGTGAAAACAGAAATCATGCCATCATTTTCAGGGACCATATGGACAATGCTATTAGTTGTATGGTTTAGTTTTAGGTAATACTGCAAGGAGCAGGGGTTTTGACTTGATGATCCTTATGGGTCCCTTCCAACTCAAGATATTTTATAATTCTGTGATTTTAAGTACTGTGTTCTGACCATCTCTTCTCTAACTCAGTTCAAAGACTCAGTGGTTTACAAGGTAAAATGTACTATGCAAGATAAGCGTTTAAAAAACATTTTCTCTAGAGGTGAATGAAGTGAAAGGACATGATAAAAGTGCGTATCAGTTCTAGTAGGGAGTAAGATCAGGAGTTTTTTTCCCGTCTCTATTTACAGAATGCACAAGGATGCTTTCAAAGGAATTGAATGACAATACATTGAAACCTACGGTTTGCCTTCAGAATTCCCTTTCATGAGCTGTAACTATATTTGAAGCTATTGTGATTTTAAAAAAAGATGTGGTATTTCAAAGACAGGAAAACTATATGCCTGACCAAAAAAACCCCAAAAAGACAACATATAGAAAGAGAGAAATAACTAATGTTATAAAGAATAAACCAGCTTCTAAATGTCAGAAGGACAAACTTTAGCAGAACTATACTGTCAAAAAGCAAAGACTCACTATTCCTACAACATATCAATGTGCCAAGACTCTTAACGAAGCTCCCAGCCAATATATGCTGCCTTACACTTATTACACTTCCCACAGTGGTGACTGGGATTCTTTTTAAGCGTTACATTTTTAAGACAGGGCAATTGTTTTAACAAAGGTTGTCAGAAACTGCCCCTTCCAGTTGACATTGCTTCCCAAGACACAGCACCACACAGCTTGCACACTCACAGATTGCACTTCAATAGCCACAGCGAGCATATCTATCACTGTTACACTTCTCTTTAAAGTCCCTACAGTTTCCTCCTTAATCATCCTGAATACTAAAGCACAACATAGTTATAAAAATCAGCCCAGTCCTCTGTTTTGACCTAATAATGAATATCTAGAAGCTGCTTTAACCAGGAGATCAGAATCCTTCTGAAAAATTGCACTTTTCAGCACATTTCTCTGACTGCAGGAGACACAATTACAAGTCTCCCTTAATCATATCACAAGGTGCTAAGGAAAACTTGTACATTCTCTCCTTAATCACACCTCAATACAGCACAATCTGAGCCAGAAGTACAACTAAATAGCAAATCTTCTTCACACAGTTGAAAGAAACCATGGGATCTATTTTAAAATTTGGAAAAAGAATCCTTGGAGGCAGAACAGATAATCTAAGGTTTTTTAGCTCCTCTGCTAACTCTGAACTGCTTCTTCCCTGACCAACAATTGACCTCACACCAAAAGCTGGCATCTGCCTGGTACCCTGCCTTCAGTGTCAGTGACGCCTCCAGCTGGTAGCACATGGCCACTGCTAAGGAAGCAAGCATGGTAGCCATATCCCTGGCTTCAGTGCCATGCTGCACATCATAGGTTTATGCATTTCTGTGTGCACATGTGAAATCTAGTGTTGCGTCACAGTACTTCCATGTTATTACACTGCCATGTGTTTCATGTCTATGAAGACTCCATGAATGACAGCATTATAAGTTTTAACAGAGCTTGTTAGATGTCTGGTTGACATCTGAAGGATGAAATTCACTTATGAAATTAAAATGAAATTAAAGTAAGGAGCCCATCTGAACTTCTTAAGCCATTTAAGCTCTCACCAGTGACTATCCACATGGAAGTCCATTTTTACTTCTGCAGTATCCATCTATGAAGCACTCTGGGCTGGGGACCTGTGGTCTCTATGAGACACTGCCAGTAGTTCCAGTAATTAATTGATTACATAAAGGCTTATGAGTATGTATAAATTCATATCAAAAAACCCTATACTTCCATCTCATCTCTACTCAGCATCTAAGTTAATCTTCTACTTAACCTGGGAAAAGGGAACACACAGTTTCTTTCTGTTATGATTTGAACACTTAGTGCAAATCAGGACATAGCACTCAATCAAATGATAATCCATTTAAATAAGAATAGTTCTTCCTCAACCCTGGCATCTTGTGGAGCAGAAGATATCTTCCTCCTTGGGGTATTGGGAGCTGTTTATCAAGAGGAAGATATAGATGTAAAATGTCCACATGCTTTAGATCTCTCCTGTGGAAGACTTCATCAAGGAGAAGTGAGTTTGGACTGAAAAAATGTGGATGCTGTTTATGTTGAGGGCCTAAAGAAATATGTTCTCTAGGCTGCTGCACAGAGTCTGAAGACAAAATAGCTAGATAGTGGAGGAGCATAATTTATGTGGAAGTGACACTTCTCAGCAATGAAGGCTCTATGGACATGGCTGGCAAACAAGATAGATTTGATGAAGTTTTGCTTTTTTCAAGGGGAAAGCACATTTTCAGCATCTTGTTAAATGTAATTTGAAACAAGATGTGTGACTTTCTGGCACATTTATTCCTCTCATTTTTTGTCAAATTGTTCTTGTCAAATTATGCTGCTTGGAGTTATAGGCAAGGAACATTTCTCTCATTTTCTCTTCCTTGGGGAATCTAGCACAATGTAAGTGCAGCAACCAAAACATAAGCATCAGTTATGATATGGATCCCATTTTGCTTACAATAGCCTCTGAAAAGCTACTGTCATTTCTGTGGCAAGAAGTGCTCTCTGTGAAGAACAAATTTTACTCTCTAGCTTCCTATCAGAGAAAGTAGTTTTATGCCAAACTGCCAATATTCATATTTTCCATTATTCTGGGCTTTTATCCAAGAAGGATAGAAATGTAAATATTGAAATATTTTCTCTATTTTGGTGTAAACAAAATTAATAAAGAACACTGATGGACTGCATGGAGGGGAAAGAAAAGTATATTTTAAAATAGCACATTTCTTTCCCAAACAATTAAAATAGACTGTTTTCTTTCCAGAACATTAATAAAAAATGGAAGCTTTAGAAATTCATGACATGCAGGGATAAATCAGTCTGCTACAGATTTTCTAACATATGTAACTCATGCACCATTTTTCAGAAGGAAATATACATTAAATTGAAATAAGAATTTGTACTTACCGTAGCTAACTCATCAAATTTTCCAAAAAGCTCATTCAGCAGCTTCACCAGTTCTTGGGCAGTACACTGTGATGCCAAACTAGTAAACCCCACAATGTCTGCAAACAAAATGCTGTAAAGAAGGAAAAAGACACAAAAAAATCAGGACAGAAGACATCTTCACATTCTCATTATACTCTTCTATAGCAAGAATGTGACCCTAAGCACAAACTCCAATAACCCCTGAAATGCTACCAATAAAGTGCTGGTTGGAACAAAAATAGCAAAGATTCAGACAAATAGGCATTAGTCTGGTGCTATCAACTGTTGTAGAGAACCCTCAGGCACTTTCAATGCCTACATATCCATTTGGTGTAGATACTGCAAAGCACCTCACTTGTAAGCTCCCCAGTGAGCACTCCAGGAGCACACTGAACAGTTTCTCCTCTTTGCAGCTAGGATCTCCTCAGCTCGATTGGTTTCAAAGACAGTTTTGCATGGCTAGAGTTCCACAGCCAAACAGATAAACCTTGCATGAGGTTTACTAAGTACTGAAAGACAGGACTTAACTTGTGTGCGGTATCTCCATGATGTGATCCTACAGTAGCTCCCTGTGAGGACCCAGAGTCAAGCCAGTATTCTCTGTACTGTGCTGACTGGCTCAGGTAAATGTCCAGCTTTCTATCAGTGTTAACAAGGTTTTAATGTCCAACAGCTTAATCTGCTTTAACAATCCCTAGCCATCAGTGTTGATCAAGGGAGATAGCTGAAAGAAGCATGGGTACTAGTGTGATTGAGAATAAAAATTCTTGTGTAATCCAGAAGCTTGAGACAGTATGGTGCCATGATTCTTTCAATTCTCTAGATTCCTCCTTCTGTAGGCAGAGGTACAATGCCAGCTGTGGGATCACACTGCATTTATCTCCAACACCCAGACTAGAAATGTCAAACAATTTACGCAAATGTTAATAAACAGTCCCAGTGGTATACACTTGACATAGTGTAAAACTTAACTTACAAACTGTAAGTTGAATTAAGTATTATGTACTCCCCTTCACCTCAGCAAACCTTCACTCTTTAGATAAAATAGCAATATTAGAAAAGCAGGCCTAATAAGTCTACTGTTTTCAATTCTCCATAGACAAGTCTCAACTCTCCTAGTAAGTTACAAAAAAGGCACTCTTGACTCAGACCTTGCTTCTATAATTTCATTTAACTTGGTAAAACTTTAAAGGGTAACATTCAACCAAAAGAAAACATTCCACAAAGCATTGACTTAGCACATGCTAACCCATACAGCTTAAGAAAATCCAGCCCATTCAGTCCCAAGTTACCCAAAATATTAAGAAAGGAGATTAGGAGAAGAAGAAGTAAAGAAAAAGAGAGTATTATTGCTTATTATAGCTACCACCAGAGTCCTGTGAGAGTCCAGCTTCCACCTGTCCAGGTGGCAGGGTTTGAACAAGCACAGAGAGTACATGTTGCTGCTTTCATTTGCTTTGGCCCCGCTGTGGCCACACGGCCTGCCCCCAGCTGGGACTTCTGATGTGCCAACCAATCCTGGACTGAGTCAGGGGCTCCAAGGTGTGGTGTGGGCAGTGCTCCCAGTGTCCAGGGACTGACAGCTGCTCCAGGGCTGCCCCAGGAGACTCACAGAGGCTGGGGCTGTGGGATAGGGCATTACCTCACCTCCACGAAATTCAACCTGTCCCTTCCCGCCCCGCCAAACACACACACACTTGAGTTGATCCAAGCTAAAAATTATTAATCCATTGTCTCACACCCTCTCACACACACAAGGGTTCTGAAAATTATCACTGAAACTCAACAGCTGCTTCATTTTATTTTAGCTAGTTAACTGACCAACCTTATCTCTTGCACTTCTTTACCCACCTGTGTCCATCTGTTGCCTCTTACTACCAGTGCCTCTTCTCTTACTACTTGGACTACCAGTATTGTGAGGCAGTGCCCACACTTATTCTTTATTGTCTAACACCTAAAAGCACCTTGATCTGTGACATGAAGTCAAATCACCCTTATGATGTAATAAACTTTTTCACCCCTGTTATGTTCTGCTCAGTTTTTTGGAATGTAAAGGACACAGAAGGCCTTTATCAGGAGATGGCAAAATCAGACACACGGAGTGAGAACAGAAAAGAGATTTGATTTCTTGTTATGGCCATGAAATTCATAATGGTACTAAAGAAAGAAATTATAAGACATACAGTGCCAGAATTCCAGTGACATACCTCAAGTGTTTCCAGGGCCAAATCATATTTTCAAATACAGTCAAATATATTCGAAGTCTAAGTTCCCACATTGGCACTGAAATTCCCTTTCCTTTGATTTGAATATATTAGTCACACAAAAATACTAAGACCTTAAATTTAGGCCATGTCTAATATACTTAGAAAAGTTAAGACAAAGCAACTACAGTAGTGACATCAGTGTTAAAACACATTAATCACTCCTGTAGATGCCCTCATCCAAGGGCAAAGTAGTCTTGCCTCACAGTAACTTAATCGGTAATTGCCATGGAGGTTCACATCCTCAGAGATGATTAAACTAAACTACAGCTACTTTATGTATGCAGGAAAGATTCCTCATAATGGTATGGTATACAAAAGGATTGTCAAGTAATTTTTATTTTAAAAAAAGGTAAATGTTAGCATATATAGAAACAAGAAGTGAAAAGCTACCAATTAACAATTGGTTCTCTTAATGACCATTCAGGGATATGTCTCTCCCTGCTTTAATTCCACAGAATTAAGTACTTTAATTCCATAGAATTAACAATGCCACTGGGGCACTCTGGTGAAAAACCAAAAAAAACCAAAAACCCAATCTCAATTAAACTGAAACTAATAAAGAGCAAAGAGAAACGAAAGTGGAAAGTGAAAACAAAGGACAAAGGTTGCTTCTGTTTCCTCAACAACGTAGCTTGCACATGATTCAAGCACTGCTCTTCACAACAGGCAATGTGAATGTGTCAGGAAGGCTAAGTAGCTATTACAGTGCTGAGTCTGGTGTTGTTGCATTGCCCGGGGGCTCAGAAATGCTTCTATTCCTCCATCCCACAACTAAGCAAGGGGAACATAAGCTAACATTGTCTTTGCCTCTGTGCTATACCAAGACCTCTGCAATCCCATGGTCTTTGAAATATTCAGCTTTTGTCCTATAGTTTTCAGTCACAGAATCTCAAAGAATCATAGAATGTTAAGGGGTTGGAATGGACTTTTAAGATCATTTAGTCTCCTTGCCAAGGGCAGGGACACCTCCCACTAGACTGGGTTGCTCAAGGCCTTATCCAACTTGGCTTCAAACACTGACAGGATCAGAGCATCCACAACCTCCCTGGGCAATCTCTTCCATTGTCTCACCACCCTCACAGTAAAAAATTTCTTCCTAATATCTACCTTAATTTCTCCCTCTTTCAATTTGTACTCATCCCTCCTTTTCCTATCACTAGAGTTCCTAATGAAGAGTTCCTTCTTGGCTTCCTAGTAGGCCTCCTTCAGATACTGAAGACTGCTATGAGGTCTTCAGACAATCTTCTTCAGGACAAACAGCCCCAACTTTCTTAGCCCGTCTTCCTAAGGAAAGTGCTCCAGTCCTATTATCAACTTCATGGTCCTTTGCTGGACTTGCTCCAACAGTTCCATGCCCTTCTAATTTTGGGGGGAGATGGGTACCAGAACACTTTGCACTATTCCAGATGGGGTGCCATGAGGGCAGAGTAGAGGAGGAGGATCACTTCCCTCTACATTCTGGCTATGCTCCTTTTGATGCAGCCCAGGATGTGGTTGGCTTTCTGGGCTACAAGTGAATGCTGCCAGCGAATGCTGAGTTTTTCATCAACCACTACCCCCAAGTCTCTCTGTAGGACTGCTCTCAATCACTTCTCCATCCAACCTGCAGGTGTACCTGGGATTGCCATGACCCAGGTGTAGGACCTTGCACTTTGCTTTGTTGAACTTCATGTGGTTTACATCAACCCACCTCTCAAGCCTGTCAAGGTCCCTCTGGATGGCATCCCTTCCCTCCAAGGTGTGTTGATTGTACCACATACCTTGGTGTGGTCATCAAATTTGCTGAGGGTGCATTTGATCCCATTGTCGATGTCACCGACAAAGATGTTGAGCAGTATCAGCCCCAGTAGTGACCCCTTAGGGATACCACTCGTCACTGGTTTCCACGTGGACAATGAGCCATTGACCACAACTCTTTGCATGCAGGTATCTAGTCAGTTCATCGTCCACTGAGTGGCCCATCCATCAAATCCATGTCTCCAGTTTGGAGACAGTGTCAAATGTTTTACGTAAGTCCAGGTAGATGACGTCTGTTGCTCTGTCCCATCCACCAGTGCTGTAGCCCCATCACAGAAGGTCATGAAATTTGTCAGGCATGATTTCCGCTTTGTAAAGCCATGTTGGCTGTTACTAATCATCTCTTTGTTTTTCATGTGCCTTAGCATAGTTTCCAGGAGAATCTGCTCCATGATCTTCTGAGGCACAGAGGCAAGACTGAATGGTCTGTAGATTCCCAGGTCTTTGGCTTTCCCTTTTTAAAAAATGAGGGTTATATTTCCCTTTTTCCACTCACCAGGGACTTCACCTGACTGGGGATAATGGCTTAGCAACTTTTCTCTGCCAGCTCTCTTAGGACCTGCAGATGAATCTCATTGGGTCCCATAGACTTGTGCACATTGATGCTCCTCAGATGGTCTCAAACCTGACTCTCTCTTATAGTGGGCTTAGAGTCTTCATTTTCCTAGTCCCTTCATTTTCTTTCCCAACTTGGATGGCATGGCTGGAGCACTTGCCATTGAGGAATGAAGCATAAAAGTAGTTGAGAAACTCAGCCTACTCTTTGTCCAGGGCAGCCAGGTCTCCCATTTCCTTCTGCAGAGGGCCCACATTATCCCTAGCCCTTCTTTTGCTTACAACATATCTATAGAAGCCCTTCCTGTTATCCTTAGTATCCCTGGCCAGACTCAATTCTAACTGGGTCTTTGTTTCCTTAACTTTGTCCCTAGCTTCCCAAACAATTCCTCCCAGGCTACCTGTCCTCATTTCCACTTCCTGAAGTTTCTTTTTTTACTGAGCTTGCTCAGCAGCTCCTTATCCATCCACA